AATTTCAAGACTAACGTCTATTACACTTCGATTTATACAAAAATATCACAACCCTCTATACTTTGATTTGTATAAAAATATTACGGCTCTCTTACAACAATATGAAAGCTCTCTAAACACCCATTAACAGACCTAACTTCCCAAATACATAGAGAACTAAAAAAATGGCAAAGAAAACATTCTCCAAAATATTTTGAACTAAACCAACTCAATAGATGGAGGAAATTAACAAGAACGAAGAAAACATTGTCATAAATGGATAATACCTCTGTACTCCATGATTTCGACAAATAACGTATGTGTTTGAAAGTGTTTTATGCCCAAAGCAATCGCGCTGCAATGATGAGATCGGTGGATGAAAACCTCGGGCGTTTGCTAATTTTATGTATTATGTGTCGTTGTCGGTCGGGCGTCGGAGATACCTCTCCCAAATTTACGCGCAGTGTCGAATTGGGGGCTTGTGTTTACAAGGGAAATAAAATTACTGGAAAACAAGATTATTACTGCATTTTAAAATTATTGGTGTCTTCATGGGTTGGGTTTCCCCAACAAAAGGATGCGGGTCGTGTATTTTAAAATTTGAAATCCACGTCCTCATGTCAACAGAAATGTAAGAAGTCGTGTACAAATAGCAAAATTGTTAATATTATTGGACCCAAAATACTTAAATTCAACCAATATCTGCGTATTTTTATGACTTCTTTTGTCAACTATCATGAACACCGCCCAATTAGTTGTCAAGAGCTCAAGATTACACTAGGACTCTTATTAATAGTTTATTGAGAACTCTACACTTTCATGTAAGGTTGTTATAGATCATCAAATTTCAATATGAGGTTTTAAGTTCTCGGCCTATTTAAATATGTGAATTTGGATCTTACACGAACTTTTTTACTTGATCAATGCTGAAGAACAAAACCATCAGCTCACCTAACATTTCTCTCCATATGATTTTTAACGCTCACGGTGATAATTCTTATAGTGTAGAAGGTTCAAATAGGTCGGAATCCATAATATCACTTTTGAAGGTAAGGTTGGGAGGTGCAATCCTACTCTTCCATTTTATTTTTCCAAAGTTTAGGTAATTATTTTTTACAAATACTTCATGTTGGCAAAATTGGAGTAGATCGGTACAAAAATATCACAACCCTCTATACTTTGATTTGTATAAAAATATTACGGCTCTCTTACAACAATATGAAAGCTCTCTAAACACCATTAACAGACCTAACTTCCCAAATACATAGAGAACTAAAAAAATAGCAAAGAAAACATTCTCCAAAATATTTTGAACTAAACCAACTCAATAGATGGAGGAAATTAACAAGAACGAAGAAAACATTGTCATAAATGGATAATACCTCTGTACTCCATGATTTTGACAAATAACGTATGTGTTTGAAAGTGTTTTATGCCCAAAGCAATCGCGCTGCAATGATGAGATCGGTGGATGAAAACCTCGGGCGTTTGCTAATTTTATGTATTATGTGTCGCTGTCGGCCGGGCGTCGGAGATACCTCTCCCAAATTTACGCGCAGTGTCGAATTGGGGGCTTGTGTTTACAAGGGAAATAAAATTACTGGAAAACAAGATTATTACTGCATTTTAAAATTATTGGTGTCTTCATGGGTTGGGTTTCCCCAACAAAAGGATGCGGGTCGTGTATTTTAAAATTTGAAATCCACGTCCTCATGTCAACAGAAATGTAAGAAGTCGTGTACAAATAGCAAAATTGTTAATATTATTGGACCCAAAATACTTAAATTCAACCAATATCTGCGTATTTTTATGACTTCTTTTGTCAACTATCATGAACACCGCCCAATTAGTTGTCAAGAGCTCAAGATTACACTAGGACTCTTATTAATAGTTTATTGAGAACTCTACACTTTCATGTAAGGTTGTTATAGATCATCAAATTTCAATATGAGGTTTTAAGTTCTCGGCCTATTTAAATATGTGAATTTGGATCTTACACGAACTTTTTTACTTGATCAATGCTGAAGAACAAAACCATCAGCTCACCTAACATTTCTCTCCATATGATTTTTAACGCTCACGGTGATAATTCTTATAGTGTAGAAGGTTCAAATAGGTCGGAATCCATAATATCACTTTTGAAGGTAAGGTTGGGAGGTGCAATCCTACTCTTCCATTTTATTTTTCCAAAGTTTAGGTAATTATTTTTTACAAATACTTCATGTTGGCAAAATTGGAGTAGATCGTTTTACTTAGAATTATAATTCAAGTGACAAGCGAAATTTTATTGAACGATGAAAATGAGTTAAACAAGCTAGTAACTCATCAATTCATTAAGTTTTTTTTTCCCTGTTTACGTAACTAAAATTAATTTTTTTAATAAATTTTAATAAAAATGATTAAATATATGATTGAAAAATTGATAAAAATTATAGATCTCATGAAAAATTTAGTCAAAATTATTTAGTAATTTAAATTTATATTTTTATCAAATTTGTAATCACACCAGATATGAGATTTATATTTCTATCAACTTGTTTGAGAAGGATTATTGGATTCAATTCTATTATTTTAATTCGACTGTTTCGCCCGCAAATCTTTGCCTCTTTGGAATCGACATCTGGGACGAATCTTTTAAACGGGCGGGGATTTGCCCGCAAAGAAAAGAAAAATAAAAGAAAGAAAGTAAAATGGGCGTTCAGAGTCGGGGTACTTTTAAAAATAACCTGGTCAAATCATTTAAATTTCACATTGACTTCTCAACAAAGAGATATTATGAAAATGACATATCCAATGTTAAAAGACAAAAATACCCTTAAATACATTATACAATTGCAAAAGTTGATTTTTTTAAAAGACATGAATACCCTTTCACTTAACAAATAAAAATCAAACAATTCATACATTTTTTATCTGTTTACTCCAACACAGATAAATAAAACACTCTCATATTTCATCTACTTCAACTGCAAAAACTTAAAAATTTATTGAAATCGGAAGTCGAAAAATTTGTGGATATCAATCTCTTCGGTTCCGTAAGTTTATATACGAAAATTTAATATTGTTTTCGTTAAATTATTGTAGGTGTAAATCGATAAATTGTATTTCGACATTTAATAATTAGTAGAAAAAAATTTAATAGATCTGTAATTTTTTAAGTATTTGACCGGAAAAAATTCATCTGCATATTTATGTCGGCGCCGATGAATTGACAGTTGATCGGCTGTTAAACAACCGGTCAAACAGCCAAAAAAAATCTGCCAAACAGTCGGTTGTTTGCCAACCGTTTTTTCCTCTTTTTTGTGTTATTTTTTGTTGATATTTTTCTTGTAATTAAAAATTCTGTTTCGACATGCAGATATGGTTGTAGTCTCAGTTTGTTATTTTGGTGATTTCGAATTGGACGAAAGAGATCAATGGGTATGGAAATGGACAAGTAATATATGTGGTGGTATCGCAATTTCCATATCATCAGGTACATCGTATGCAAAACTCTATAATGATTTATAAAACAAGTTGAATGTTGATCCTTCTCATTACAACATGAAATTGAAATTTAAATTCAGCGAGCATGCATCAGTTCCGATTCCACCTATAATGATTTCTTTTATTGATGAAGTGAATTATCTGATTGAATTGAACAATAAGTACACGACTCCTCTTTGCGTGACTTTAGTAATGAAGGATGTCGTTGAAGATGAATAAGTAGACTCGGGAGGTGGGGATCACAATGCTAATGATTTTTGGGATACAGTAGAGATAGCTCGTGAAGATGATGTGATTATTCCAGAGATAGTTGCACACGGAATCCCCCTCCGCTGCTCATGACAACGAGAATGAAAATACAAATACTTTTACAAACGAGGACTTGATTGCTTTATCCCGGCAAAGACATGAGTGGAGTGGCACCTCGGGGGCTAGATCGAGTGGACCGTCCTCTAAGTCCTCACGTGTGGTTCCTGATGATGAGGATTTATATGTCTAGCAACTGTTTGAAACAAATAAAGATTTGCAAGAAACCGTGTACCTAATTGCTTTGAAATACAACTTTGAGTTTAAAGTGAAAAAATCGAATAGGTCATTGTTGACACTATCATGTGTAGATGATAGTTGTAGTTGGTGTTTGCGAGAAAAGAAGATGGACACGAATGAGTGCTACGTAACTCGCAAATATACACGAGAACATACTTGTGAAGTGGGAGTTTGTCGCAATGATCATAGGCAAGCCCGAGTTTGGTTTATTGGTCGACAGATAATGTACAAGTATCAGGATCCACAGACAATCTACAGACCATCGGACATTATTAATGATGTTCGTCGAGAGTAAGGAGTAGTCATGAGCTACCAGAAGGCCTGGAAGGCCAAAGAATGCGCATTGGAGGATTTAATGGGCTCGACAGAGGAAAGCTATGCTAAATTGGCCATGTATTGCCATAACATGGAGAAAACTAATCCTGACTCGACATTTTTTATTGAGACGGAGGCCGATAACTGCTTCAAATCCTTCTTTATGGCTCTTGGACAATGCATTCGGGGATTTCGAAATGCTATTCGACCCCTAATTCTAGTCGACGGTACAACTCTGAAATACAAATACTAAGGCAAGTTGATTATTGCTACATGTCAAGATGTCAACATTCAAATTTATCCTCTTATATTCGGCATAGTTGATAACGAGAATGATCCGTTGATGCGTTGGTTCTTCACAAAGCTCAGGGAAGTAATCGGAGAAGTCGAGGACCTTGCATTTGCCACCGATCGGGGATAGTCTATAATAAATGGTATTGCTGAAGTTTTTTTCGATGCACATCATGGGTATTGCATGTACCATATACAAGGCAACTTGAAGACCAGAAATCTTTTCATTGTTTAGGAGAGCAGCCGAAGCTTACAGTATTGAAGAGTGTAATAGGTACATGGTTGAAATAGAAAGTAAATCATTCCCATTATGGGACTATCTAACGAAAGTGGGGATTGAACATTGTGTGCGCTCATATTTTTCAGGACGTTGATACAACATTATGACGTCAAAAAACGCGGAGTCTCTCAATGTATTATTTAAAAGGGATCGAGAGTTACCCATTCTCGCACTGATTGAGAATATCCGTACGAAGCTGCAGCAATGGTTTCAAGATCGACGTGCGAAATCACATAATTGCACAAGCGTGCTAGCCCCAGCACAAGAGGTAAAACTCTTCAAAGCTGTAGAGGCTGCGAGAAAGTTAAATGTCGAACCACTAGACGAGTCGCGCTTCTCTGTGGAATGTGCACGTCATACGACATATATGGTAGATTTAAGTGATGGAACATGCACTTGTAAACAATTTCAGTTAGAGAGTTTTCCTTGTGAGCATGCAGTTATGTTGGCTATGTATCGAGAATTTGCAGCGAAAACGTTGTGCTCTCCTTATTACACTGCTGAAAACTGGAGAGATGCGTATGTTGAAACCATATTTCCGCTTCCAAACGAAGTCGAGTGAGAAGTTCCCAATCATATTCGCCCGTTCAATACATTATCGGCACCTCTCATTGAACCACGTGATCCTGAACGTCCAAGTACTTCTAGAATACCATATATAGGATAGTCTTCTCGACCACGTAGGTGTAGCAGGTGCAAATCAGTAAGACATACTCGCCAATTTTGTACAAGTCAGGTTCCCCTAAATGACAGTTAAAGTGTGTTTGATTGACATGAAAAATATTACCTAGAAAAAAAAATATTTTCCATCTTTTGTGGAAAATAAAAATCACCTCTACCCAAAAAAAAATATTTTCCTTAAAAACAAGGAAAATTAGGCATATTTTCAAAAGTTGGAAAATGTTTTCCATGGAAAAAAATAGCAATCAAACATTCCAAGTAAAAATTTGGATGGAAAATAAATGTAATCAAACACACCCTTAGAGTATTGTATATTTCCATTGAAATGAAAAGTATTTACATTGAAATAAAAAGTATTTACATTGAAATGAATAGTATTTACATTGAAATGAACAGTATTTACATGAATAATTACAAACAATTGCGAAAAATAGTTACAAATAATCACAAAAAATAATTACAAATAATAATTACAAAAAATATTTACAAATAATTTATGGATCACAATTAAATTCGTATAAATCACACGCTAACTTATTTCGTCAATTCTGTATCTATTACTGGTTGATTCAATCAACCTTATGTGCTATACAAAAAATTCTATGTATTTGATTGCGAAAATCCCACAGTCGCCCCTACAAATAAACAAATATGTGTTAGTTCGGTTCCAATTACGTACGAGCTGATTACTAAATTAAAAAAAAAAAGATTACAAAGACTTACGATATAGACTCTCTCATCGTCGTCGTGTCCCGCACGATGGTTAGTTTGTCATCTACAGTCAAGCTCGTATGTCTAGCCATCATAAGAACAATCACAGTCACCGACTCTAAGATCTTCTCAAGTCGTCCATGTGTCAGACATGAATGATCGGGGTCGTACACATATATCGTCGAATCAGGGAACACGATCTCCAGTGCAATACAGTGCTGATTCACGATAACTGAAATGTACAAATGCGTATAACCCTCCCATGGCTTTTCCCCAACACTTGGTGACAGCCCGATGACCCACTCGAGCATATACGCGAGAAGCACGTACTCGTTACCTAGAAGCTGGAGGGATTGATACTCAATGGTAATGGCATGGAAGAACTCGGTGTTCAGGATGATGCGGCCAGACTTGTGGAATGATTGTGGATATCTCTCAACTCGATCGCACAACAAATCCATGGCCATGTCGATGTGTTACATCAAGGAAAACAAAGACATAAACACTTATTTCATTTACCAAATTAAACATAATGTATACAAAAAGTAACAATAACACTTCACTTACATCGTCGGCGAGCCAAGCCCCCTAAGTGGTGATATCATGGAACCACTTATATGTGTCCAATATCGTCCTTCCGGCTATCATGTGCGTGGCTTTGGAAATAAAATAGAAAAAACGTTAAACGAAGCATATACGAGTTCTGGTAGTCTACTAAATCATACAATACTTACCCCGGCAACATTTTTCGCCACTCAACCTCGAATGCTTTCCACTTAGCATGGTCGACTTCTCGAACAAATTGGGATACGTCCCATCGATGAACCTCCTCCTCTTCTCCTCAGTCGTGAAGGGAAAGACGACGTACTGTGACGGCACTCTCGACCTCTTGCCGACCATCATCTCCGGCATTTCAATAGCACGCTTTTTTGCCTTATACACTGCTACCTCCTCTACCCCAGGGCTCGCCACCTCATCCACTCCCACATCTGCCACCGTCTCCGTCCCTGATGGGGCCACTCCCACATCTGCCACCGTCTCCGTCCCCGACGGGGCCACTCCCTCATCTACCACCGTCTTCCTCCCCGATGGCCCCCCTTCTCTGTCACTGCTCCCATCACATCGCGCTCCATGGATAAAATAAACGATTCCCATCATCATCATCATGTATGTATGACTGTCGGAGACCCCTATCTCTATCACCCTGTCGATTGCCGTCTCCATCAACCCATCGCCTACCGACTATATCACTTTGGAGTGCTGCAATCTCATTTGACAAACCTTCGACCCTTCCTACCAACTGTCGTCCCAGATCATCAACCCTCTCTATCATCTCTCGATGCAGCCGTCGACCTGCTTTGCTATAAATTTGCTCAGACGAGTGTACAAATCATCAAAATAGTGCCCTTGACTACGTATGGGAGATCCACATGAAAGGTCTCTGGACGGGGGAGGCGGAGGAGATGCCGCCGCCGTCGACATCATCTCCAGCGGAGGAAGAGATGCCCTTGGCGGAGGTGGTGATGCCCTCGATGGAGGTGATCGTCGATCAACTGGATCACGCTCCTACACAAGCAACGACATTACAAATTATTAACTTAATCCATAAATACTAACTCATACAAAACGGTAATCAATAGATTTTATTCAATTTGCTCACCCAATCTCGGTAGTGGATCGAATCGAACATATGGTCGTCTTGGGTGTGCGAAACGCCTAATTCACGCACAAGACCCTGAGCCTTTTCCTCCATCGACGGTGTCAACTTAGTTATGATTTCAAGCTAACGTATTAACATTTGAACTAGTAAAAGATCATGCAATTAGATATTAAATTATGCACAATATAAATTACAAATGCATAATACTCACATGAGGGTCGTCTAGGATAGCCGATAACTGTTTCCTAGTGGGACATCCCTCCGATCACGATGCTCTCCAATGGTGCATCCGAGGGCAGCATGTTTCCTTTCATCTCGCAAAGCGGGCACCCAATATGGGGACGGCCTCATACGCCCAGATCTACAACACATAATTATTATATATAAATTCAATATGAAAATAATTTTAACATTCATTATATTAACCATTTACCTGCACCGCTAGGAGCAATCCATATGTGTCGTACTTACGCATAGCTCCCTTTGGCTTCGAGTGCGATTTGGTGAAAACGTGTACAGTGTTCTCAAAACATCTCCGGCCCCACGGATATCGTTGAAACGATCGATGTCGTCAACAATCTTCAGATGGAAGAGATCGATCGCAGTAGTCTTATGGTGACACCGCACCACGCTCTCAAGGATGTAAACCAGACCTAACTTCAATCTGTCTAACATCTTATCACACCTCCTGATTGCGTCCAACAGTTGTGTAAGAAGCATAGTATCCTGTCCCTCGAAATAAGTATCATGAAGCCTATTTCTTCTCTGAGTCCTATCACCGGCTGCTTCATCGCCCGTAGTCTTTAATCCCCCGATCAGAGCAAACTCGAACATAAAAAAACTGGCGATTTTACCCCCGATTGCGAAGTGGAGGGTATCGCTGTCGACTGAACTCAGCAATCGACATAGAAATGCATCAATAATCTGACCCGAGTACTGTTGATCTCTCAACGGGTGTAAAGGCCACAGGAAGGACTGACGCAGCATATCAGCATGCTGATCATCAAGCAGTTCTAACACAGCTGTGAAATTATCAAAACTACTATTCCACGTAACTTTGCGTGACATCTGTCTCAACTCTGCGTCAAGATGATAATCCATCATGTAAAAATTCAAAATGTTAGAACATTGTACAAGTGATAATAATAATAATAACAGAAAATTTAGCAAATGAAATTGTAACTACAATACGCAAAACGTAGATTCATAATAATTGAAATCATCAATAATGTGAATTTTTTTATCCTATTATCAATAATGTCAATTTTTTTCAATTATCACAATTTTTTAATCAATTCAAGTAAATTCGCTGAATGAAAATAATATTATTTATCAAAAACTAATAATAAAAATAAAAATAAATAAAATTTCCAACAATTATTTCAAATTTCTATTTACCAAAAATGAAAAAATAAAAATAAATATTAAAACAAAAATTAAATATAAAAATTTTATTTAAATTTAGTCGTAACAATATTATTTAAATTCGACAAACTAAATAATTTATTATTTATTAAAACCAAATAATAAAAATTATTAAAAATTAAATTATTAAATTATATGTGAAAAAAATTGAAAAAAAATGAAAAAACAAAAAAAGTGGGCCGACAGTCGGGCTAATAATTGGCCCACTAATTTGGGCTGACAGTTAAACAGTTGGCCCATACCGACTACGGTTGGTATGGGTCGGCTGCTGACTGTCGGTATGGGCCAACTGTTTAATTGTCAGCCCATGCCGGCTGTTACCAGTCGGTATGGGTCGACTGCCGATTGTCGGTATGGGCCAACTATTTAATTGTCGGCCCATACCGACTGTTACCCAACTGTTACCAATCGGGTTAGAAGTCGACCTGACTGTTAACAGTCGGGTTCAAGCATAAAATGTTGGCTGCACCAGCAGCCAGCCTTCTTCTTCAGCTTTTTCGCTAGAAAATCACAATTTTCGACGAGGAAAGCCTCCAAATTCAAACAACCAACCATTTTTTACACTATATACACCCTATTTTACTTATATAAACAAAAATATATTGAAAAAATCTCCAACAAAATATAAACATTAATCCAATCAAATAATGGTTACCTTAACAAAATCGTTGGCCGACGATGGAGAGCAACTTCTCCGACCTACTGGAAATCGTCCTTGCTTTTTTAGTTTTGTGAGATTCAATTTTGTGAGAGCCGAGAGATATTTTAAAATTTTAAACTTTAAATTCGATTTTTTTTTATAATTAAAAAGACGGTCAAAGGTCATTTGAATGAGTTATATGGCCATTTCCAACAATTTCCTCGTTCGGAGTGTCCTACGGTGGAGCTCTATTCGACACGTATCTTCAAGGCGGGGTTTATGCGCCAGGTGGAAGCTCTCTGTGGCCCTTTCTCTCGCACACGGTGTGATTCATTTCTGTGTTTGTTACTGAATATAATACCGTACACTGATTGACATCGCGAAATCAAGCAGAAGAATGGAGTTTTCGGATTTTGCAATGAACGTTGGGGAACGCCATGAGCAAGTCATTCCGATAACTATTTTTGTGGCGGTTCTATGCTTTTGTTTAGTGATTGGGCATTTGCTCGGAGAAAGTCGTTGGGTTAACGAATCCATCACCGCTCTTATCATCGTACGTATGAACTTTCTCTGTTTCTGTCATTGATGAAATTTTTAATACACAGAACCTGAGTACAAGTCTCTTTGATATAATGTTACATACATGCATAATATTTTAATGTAAGATGTCGTTGCTACACATCACACACTGACACACGGTATTGTATTTGGTTTTACTTGAAAGAGAAGAAAGAAAAATTGATTTAATTGGTGGCCTGCACTTTTAGATTACTGTTAAACCCATTTTGGGCTTTGATGGCGTGTTGAGTTTTCACAAAATTTAAAGCCCCCTCCTGGAAGCTGAACTTTGTTAGGGATGAAGCAGAATTGCACCCACCACGCCATGGTTGGCGAAGGATCAGATCACCTATCACTGAATTTTGTGACTTAACACCCATAGTTTAGTTGGCTCTAATGTTTATTTTCTTTTTTCTTTTTTTTTTCCCCACCAGAAGAGGCTTTGATCTTAATGACAATAATCACCACTTTCGTATTGTTTCTTTCCTGCCAGATATATTGCAAGTAAATTTAGTCGTAACAATATTATTTAAATTCGACAAACTAAATAATTTATTATTTATTAAAACCAAATAATAAAAATTATTAAAAATTAAATTATTAAATTATGTAGTAAAAGTCTAAAAGGTGCAACATTGATAGCCCAAGGATTCAAGTGTTTACATTTAGTTACACTTTTAGTTCACTTTTGCACCGGCAAACTTATACAAGATTGCATGTGATGAAACTCAAGAAATGATATGTGGGCCGACAGTCGGGCTAATAATTGGCCCACTAATCTGGGCTGACAGTTAAACAGTTGGCCCATACCGACTACGGTTGGTATGGGTCGGCTGCTGACTGTCGGTATGGGCCAACTGTTTAATTGTCAGCCCATGCCGACTGTTACCAGTCGGTATGGGTCGACTGCCGATTGTCGGTATGGGCCAACTATTTAATTGTCGGCCCATACCGACTGTTACCCAACTGTTACCAATCGGGTTAGAAGTCGACCTGACTGTTAACAGTCGGGTTCAAGCATAAAATGTTGGCTGCACCAGCAGCCAGCCTTCTTCTTCAGCTTTTTCGCTAGAAAATCACAATTTTCGACGAGGAAAGCCTCCAAATTCAAACAACCAACCATTTTTTACACTATATACACCCTATTTTACTTATATAAACAAAAATATATTGAAAAAATCTCCAACAAAATATAAACATTAATCCAATCAAATAATGGTTACCTTAACAAAATCGTTGGCCGACGATGGAGAGCAACTTCTCCGACCTACTGGAAATCGTCCTTGCTTTTTTAGTTTTGTGAGATTCAATTTTGTGAGAGCCGAGAGATATTTTAAAATTTTAAACTTTAAATTCGATTTTTTTTTATAATTAAAAAGACGGTCAAAGGTCATTTGAATGAGTTATATGGCCATTTCCAACAATTTCCTCGTTCGGAGTGTCCTACGGTGGAGCTCTATTCGACACGTATCTTCAAGGCGGGGTTTATGCGCCAGGTGGAAGCTCTCTGTGGCCCTTTCTCTCGCACACGGTGTGATTCATTTCTGTGTTTGTTACTGAATATAATACCGTCTGTGGCCCTTTCTCTCGCACACGGTGTGATTCATTTCTGTGTTTGTTACTGAATATAATACCGTACACTGATTGACATCGCGAAATCAAGCAGAAGAATGGAGTTTTCGGATTTTGCAATGAACGTTGGGGAACGCCATGAGCAAGTCATTCCGATAACTATTTTTGTGGCGGTTCTATGCTTTTGTTTAGTGATTGGGCATTTGCTCGGAGAAAGTCGTTGGGTTAACGAATCCATCACCGCTCTTATCATCGTACGTATGAACTTTCTCTGTTTCTGTCATTGATGAAATTTTTAATACACAGAACCTGAGTACAAGTCTCTTTGATATAATGTTACATACATGCATAATATTTTAATGTAAGATGTCGTTGCTACACATCACACACTGACACACGGTATTGTATTTGGTTTTACATGAAAGAGAAGAAAGAAAAATTGATTTAATTGGTGGCCTGCACTTTTAGATTACTGTTAAACCCATTTTGGGCTTTGATGGCGTGTTGAGTTTTCACAAAATTTAAAGCCCCCTCCTGGAAGCTGAACTTTGTTAGGGATGAAGCAGAATTGCACCCACCACGCCATGGTTGGCGAAGGATCAGATCACCTATCACTGAATTTTGTGACTTAACACCCATAGTTTAGTTGGCTCTAATGTTTATTTTCTTTTTTCTTTTTTTTTTCCCCACCAGAAGAGGCTTTGATCTTAATGACAATAATCACCACTTTCGTATTGTTTCTTTCCTGCCAGATATATTGCAAGGTAGTAAAAGTCTAAAAGGTGCAACATTGATAGCCCAAGGATTCAAGTGTTTACATTTAGTTACACTTTTAGTTCACTTTTGCACCGGCAAACTTATACAAGATTGCATGTGATGAAACTCAAGAAATGATATGCTGGCTTCGTAGGTGGCATAATTGCCATTCATCTGAAGAGATGAATACCAGCGGTGTCTAGTGAAACTCAAAAATGTAATGAAGGTCCTAATTGTTCGTGGTAATGTTAGACATGCCTCCTAATAGTTCTTTGGTGTTTATAATATACCACAACACGCCAACAAAGTTTGAAGTATGATTTAGAAAAAGCTCTCTACTGCAAAGCTTTGAATGAAGTCAGTCTTCTTTCCTGTTTTACAATTTAATTTTCACAGCCTCCTTTCAACACTGTATTATAAGTTGATCTAGGTTTTCTCCCCAAGGAGCACGTGATCTGATTTTTAAGCCTTCTTTCTAAATTACTATGTTAGGAAGATTTCATTTTTTGGTTCAGAATCAGTTAGAACAACTTAAATAATTGGCTATCTGAAGGTACTACTAATAGATAAGGATGACTCTTCATGCCGTTGGTCTAGAGCTGCTTTGAGTTGTTAAATTGTTAAAGGGATGCTTGACAATTGTCCGAACTAATGATGCGGCTTTAGTGTTATCACACATGCAACCTCTTCTCTTTCCTTTCCTTTCCGTTTCTTTCCTTCATTTTGATGACTGTGTTTTGGCATGCTATCTCATGGGTGCAGTTTCTATGGTTTCGTCTTGTTGTGCTGTTGTAGAGGTAGTGTAAATAATTAGCTATATTAAGCCCTTATTTGAGCCCCATTTTAAAGGAAAAAATGAACTTTTGTATTGATGGGAAATGTGTGGTTAAAAAATAAGAAAAATTTTTGGATTTACATGTAATATTATTTTATTGAAGAACGTGTGGTTGAAATGATGTCAAAATACTGTAGAAGAATGCATTTTTTCTAAAGAATGGGGCTCAAACAAGCAGTAAGTACAATATTCATGGTATATCACGTGCTGCAAGAGATAAGCTAGATGTTTACATATAGTACAGAGAGGATAAAATAGTCAGTGTATTGCTACGGAGAGAGTTCAGTGCTTATAGTTACAATTGGACACCATATTTTCTCTTCTTCCTTGTTAGATATTGCATTCAATGCATTTCCATGTTTTCTCTTCTTCGTTGTTAGTTATTGCTGCCTTCAATCTTATAGACTTTATTCACGTAATAATAAACATTAGTATCATATCTTTTGATGATTTTTTTTTTCCTTTTTTTTTTTGGGGTGGGCCAAACTAGGGATGTCTAACAGGGACAATAATTTTGCTCATAAGCAAGTGGAAAAGTTCTCACATATTGAGGTTTGACGAAGAACTTTTCTTCATCTATCTCCTTCCGCCAATCATATTCAATGCAGGGTAAGAAGTTTTTAGTTTGAGTAAGGGCATCTTAAACTTATTTCGTTGCCTCTTTACAGGTCGTGTATATTATAATACTATGATGTCTTTGCCAGTTTCCAGGTCAAAAAGAAACAATTCTTCCATAACTTCTTCACTATAATGCTGTTTGGCGTTGTTGGAGTTTTTATATCCTCATCCATTATTACGGCTGGTAATTTGTCATGCCCGCCAATTTTCTCACTTCGTCCTGATCACATAGAAATAAGAATCGATAACATAACTTGTTTGTATGTTTAATTTTTATAAGTTTTTGGGATGTTGTTGATATAGGCAGCTGGTTTTTGTTTCCCAAGTTCGGTTTCACCGGTTTGAATGCTCGTGATTATCTTGGTTTGATCCTGGATTCCTAAATTAAATCATTTTATGATGAGTTTTTATGTCAATATTTTTTTTAGCCCATGTAAATCCAATCTGATATGCTATTTCTTTATATAAGGTATTGGAACAATTTTTTCATCAACAGATACTGTATGCACACTGCAGGTCGGTAAAAAACAACTCACATTCTTTATTTGTTTAAATAAGAAAGCAGCTCCTTTGTTATCTAGTTATGAGTTCTAATAGTTATGTTTAGGTTCTGCATCAAGAGGCGACTCCTTTGCTATACAGCCTAGTTTTCGGGGAAGGTGTAGTAAATGATGCCACATCAGTTGTTCTATTCAATGCAGTTCAAAAGATTGACGTCAATGGAATTGATGGCTGGACGGCAGTCCATACCTTTGTAGATTTCCTGTATCTATTCTCCACAAGCACTGCTCTTGGAGTTGCTGTGAGTTTCCTCTAGTAATATGCAAACTTCATAACAATGCACACAGAATCGCGTAGTTAACTTTGGGCAGGGTATCCACTTGATTTTGTTGTGAACCTTATGGTCTAGCTTTCTGAGACTTAGCTTTATTTCTTTTCATTTTTCCTCGAAGCATATGTCAAGCTTAATTTTTAAATTTAAGAGGACTCGTAAAACATATATTTAGATATTTTTTTAAAGATTGAGATATATTAATTCTCGTGTTTGTATGTCTTGGAAAATTATCCCACTGCACTTAGTAAATAGAAATGATATTAGATTGGAGTAATTTTTTACAAATTTATTGGTTAAGAAGGAAGGAATTAATGAAATTAACTTTCCTAGCATGATATGATAGAGTTTCCGAATGCTCTGTCTTTTTTCACTGGATGTTTTTTTATCATTCTTCTCTGGAAGTTTGTATTGTCCTTAGAAGCATATCTCAAGCTTAATTTTATCTTAAAGAGTACCTAATACGATACATACCTTGATAATATTGTTTTCAAAAGACTGAGCGCTGTCAATTCTTGTGTTTGTATGTCTTCTATATAAATCACTCTTGACTTAGAGATGCTTGATTGGATTAAAGAATTATTTTCATTTTAACTGATTTTTGAATCTCGACAGAATTACGACACGTCTCCTCTTCATAACTCTTTATCCTTCAATAGAATTCCTCGGGTAGTAAAGATATTTTTGTACAATTTTCTCCAAGAGTAACAAGAAATTTCACATGCTCTATTATATATATTTGAAACTAGGTATTGTATAACATTTTAATTTTCAAGGAACCATCAGCTTAGTGGTTTTCTTTCTGCTTGCAGACTGGACTTTTGACCGCGTATATTCTTAAAGGCTTGTACTTTGGCAGGTAACTGTTATTACCAATTTCTTTTTGTGTAGTAGAATTGGACGATCCACATCAGAGGATAAAAGAATGCTTGTATTATGAAGTCTAGAGCTGAACATATGCTAGTTTATGGAACTCCTTTGGATTCATATGTTTCTTTGTGTTGGCAGACATTCAACTGTTCGTGAAATTGCTCTTATGGTTTTAATGGCATATCTTTCCTACATGTTGGCTGAGGTAAAGAACAATGTTAGAAAATTGAGATTATATAGGTTAATATATTCCGGTCAATGTGTCTGAGTACTTTTTGCTTTTTGCACCATATAGCTTGGATCACTGGTAAAATGAATCAACCCATTCAAATCGAACGCTTAAAATTAATTTATAATTTATGAAGGAATGTTGGATCAAATGCATGAGTTTAGCATCTAATCTTCTCCAATCATTGCTTACATGAAATGTTACTCCAGTATCAGACTTAAGTTATCTTTTTTCTTTTTTCCATCAGTGAGAACATCATACAGAACGTCTTTCCTAGAGTTACAAAATGACTGTAATATGACTGTTAAAAAAATAGTCAGAATTGTCTGTAAATCGTCTCTAGTTTCTGTAGATATTTTGATTTGACATAATTCATGTTGGTGATTCTGTAATTTGCTGCAGTTCAAAATGTTGGCTGTTTTTCATCATTTTTAAGCGATATCGTGTAAGCTTTCTTGAAAGCACACAATTCTTTGAAAGGTTCCATGGCTCATGCTTTCTCGACCTTCTTCATTTTTGCATGTGCTGTATAACATGGAGATATGTGATGATTGAAAACTGCATTTTGCAGCTTTTCGACCTCAGTGGAATTTTGACAGTCTTCTTTTCTGGGATTTTAATGTCGCATTATGCTTGGCATAATGTTACAGAGAGTTCAAGAATCACAACCAGGCACGTATGACTAGATCAAGTAGAGCTTTAGTAGCTCTGGTTATTGACAACTGCAAAAATTATCTTAGGGTGTTTTTCTAGTTCAATCTTGGTTTGAACTGTTTTTAACTCTCATCATCTGTTTCCTTGTTAATCAGAAATTGCAAAATTAAACTACAAATTTCAAAAATTATACAAGCAATTGAAAAAGTATAAGATTTGATATCTATCATCCGTCGATATGATGAACTCCTTTCTAATTTAACAATTGCAGGCATGTTTTTGCAACGATGTCCTTCATTGCAGAAACTTTTATATTTTTATATGTGGGAATGGATGCTCTTGACATTGAGAAGTGGAAAATGAGCAAATTGAGGTAACAAATGTCCTTCCAAGGGCAAGTTTTGTTTATGTTGTGTGCTTTATGAATAGATGGTAATCTGTAGGTTCTCTTCAAGAATAAATAAACTAAATTACAAATGATATCGAATAAAATACTAAGAAATAAAAATGAATTTATTGAAACAAAAGATTCAAGTTTACACCATTGTCGGTGCCTAGCATCTAGCTCACAGCTGGTCTGCTACTCTATCGAGCATGCTGCTAGTAAAAGATTATATTTTGGAAACCTGCAATGCACCATTGTTTTAATACTTCCTCTGATACATTTCAAATCACGTTGGGATGCCCAGGGATTCATCTAAACTGCAATATACATGTGCAAAACTAACTTAACATAAATAATTAATTCACTGTGAAGATTCACTTGATGGACAAGTGGTGCTTAGCATTTTCCTTCTTATATATGTATCTCCTGAATCTTTATATTATGATGAATATACCTAATCACAGGGGTCACCAAATTAATAGTCTCTATACAAAACATTCCCTATTATTTATCGTGTCAATGTTGATAAATGATAACCATTTTAAAATTTATAGCCTTGCTTGTGTACATCTGGGGATTAACCCACTGAGCTTCAGCTTTATCAAATTCTATACCTTTTCAACTACTCACCTTGGAATTGCTTCTCAACAGTGGCTTTTCACCAAACTGGCATATAGCTTGCCAAGAACCACGATTACTTGCATCAATGAACCATCAAGTTACTTATTTCTTGTTCCTGCGTTAGGCCTTCTCTACGTGCTATATCCATTGTATTGAGTTGCTTTAGTCCTCTAAAAATGTGGAGAATTATCCATGTTAACAGGAGCATTTCTAATTTTGGGTGTTGGGGGAGATCACGAAGTCCTTTCAATTGCAAATGGTCTTGTATGCACGTATCTGATTTATTTTCCAAAAGCTCAAATGATTGAAACTTTAGCTCAGAATGTATATCAGCCCTTCTCTTTCTTTTGATCTGGAACTATTTGCCTCTCTGGTTCATTTATTTATTTATTTGGATACTCGAGAAATTAGCCTATATTTGAAGTTTCTAAAATGTAAATTACCTTGTTTATAAAGGTTAAATAAGGAAAATGTGTAGGCAGGTGGTAATACTTTTTCTTCATGAATAGTTTTTTCAGTTCATCAAATTAGGTATAGAACCTAATTTCTGAATTCTAGTATTCATTCTAAGCCAGAACTGAACAGATTTGAGGCTCATTAGGCAGACAAATAGTCAGATGGGCCACTTTAGCTGACTCCTTTTACAGCAGCTTACATTTAAGTTACTGGACGACCCTATCTGATACAAGCGTCTCTCTCTACTTAATCTTATCTGCAGTTTTGGGAACTCTATTAGAGTTTATGGGAGTGTGATGCTATTGGTAATGCTTGGACGTGCTGCTTTTGTTTTTCCTCTCTCTGTTTTATCCAACTGCATGAGCCGAACTGCAACAAGGTCATCATCAATAACATTCAAGCACCAGGTTGGTATATTGGATATATAAATATAGTTCTATATAAGGGAAGTTACATTTGTTGATTATTGATATTCTGGACCAGTCAATTTATCCCTTTGGTTAAAAAGTGGACTAGTAAATCTCCTTGTGGTTAACTCCCATTAAGGGTGTTAAACTGCATTTTGCTGCTGAACATATATTGGTTGAATCTCCAAGCCACAATAGGATTAGTAATGTATTTCCTAATCTTTTTCGGGGAAGCAAGTTTCAATAAATAGGGAAACTAAATGTCTACTCATTTGCTCCGTGGTCTGACACTAGATAATAATTTGGTGGGCTGGGCTAATGAGAGGAGCTGTCTCTATTGCATTGGCATTTAAACAGGTACTCTAAATGTTTCTAAAAAGTCAAAATCTTACTGCAATTCGAGTTTCTTGGGTACTGGATGTAACAAGTGTTGCTTTTCGTACATCTTGTCATTTGTGGATGCAGTTCACACATTATGGTGTGTCACCTGACCAAGTAGATGCTACAATGGTCACAACAACAATTATCGTTGTGCTCTTTAGTACAATAGTAAGTAGAACTTGATCTTACCATTACTAGTTGTTTCGATGCTTGCTTACGTAGAATAGTCTTCTTTCTAAAGTGGCAACTTCTTACTTATCACAGTATTAGAACGGTATAAGTTTTAACTTCTTTTTATTATTTAATATTGTTCAATCCTCCTCATCCTTACATCAAATTGATCATTTTGTCTGAAAAGTATCTTGTAATGTAGGTCTTTGGCTTTTTAACCAAACCGCTTGTAAATTATCTGCTTCCTCATAGTGAAACCGGCAACATAGACAGGGAACCAAGTATCTCGGAGGAGGATATGAAGCTTCCTCTGCTTTCCTGATCTTACCATTACTAGTTGTTTCGATGCTTGCTTACGTAGAATAGTCTTCTTTCTAAAGTGGCAACTTCTTACTTATCACAGTATTAGAACGGTATAAGTTTTAACTTCTTTTTCTTATTTAATATTGTTCAATCCTCCTCATCCTTACATCAAATTGATCATTTTGTCTGAAAAGTATCTTGTAATGTAGGTCTTTGGCTTTTTAACCAAACCGCTTGTAAATTATCTGCTTCCTCATAGTGAAACCGGCAACATAGACAGGGAACGAAGTATCTCGGAGGAGGATATGAAGCTTCCTCTGCTTTCCTTTCAAGAATCTGCAGAAACCAACCTTCATCGAGTAACGGATAGTTTGTCGATGCTGATGGAAAGACCGGTATACACTATACATTCCTTCTGGAGAAGATTTGATGATGCCTACATGAGACCAATGTTTGGTGGACCACGAAGCAGCCTATCATCATGATAACTGTCACTATGATCTGAAAGGACACAGCGGAACAAGTTTGGCAATGAATAGTGTTTACCTTGAGTTATCTCAATCTTGTTACATAAATAGGGTTAATAACAGGATTTTAAAATGGGGGACACGTGTCAAATATTTATTGGATAGTTTGAAAAAAAAAAATGAAGAAGAAGAAAAAAGTCATACACGCGGTGCCAATCACCTAATCCTGTTAAATGACCCTCTTTTAAGTAGCTATATTCTATCTCTTTTCGGCCATGCCACCTTTTATTTTCAAAACAATGACATGCGTATAATTGCAAATACAATTGTCTGACTTATATTTAGAATATTATATAAGTTAAGCCTTTGTTTGAGCTCTATTTTTTTAGAACTCATTTTTAAAGATATATTTTTTCAATACAATAACAGGATTTAAAAATGGGGGACACGTGTCAAATATTTATTGGATAGTTTGGAAAAAAAAATGAAGAAGAAGAAAAAAGTCACACACGCGGTGCCAATCACCTAATCCTGTTAAATGACCCTGTTTTAAGTAGCTATATTCTATCTCTTTTCGGCCATGCCACCTTTTATTTTCAAAACAATGACATGCGTATAATTGCAAATACAATTGTCTGACTTATATTTAGAATATTATATAAGTTAAGCCTTTGTTTGAGCTCTATTTTTTTAGAACTCATTTTTAAAGATATATTTTTTCAATAAAATAATTTTGCACGTAAATTAAAAGTTTTTGCTTATTTTAAAAATTCTCTATTTCAAAATCTATTACCCAAAAAAAAAAAAATGGAGCTCAAACAAGGGTTTAGTCTTATTTTTAGTCTTTGTTTGGTACAAATTTTGATTTAGATTTTAATTTAAGTTAAAGTCAATGTAAATTTTAATCACATATTTCATAGGATCATACCTTTTCAATTACGTATTTTATTAATTTTTTTATCAAAATCTATTAAAAATTTGATTTTAATCCTACTCAAACATGTGCTAAACATAGTAAATTATAATTCCTTAACAAGTTTGTTAGATCGTGTAAATGGAAAGTTAAACTGATTGAACTATTTATTTACTGTGCTACAAATAAATAGGTATTTAGCCATAAGTAGGCAAACATGCAAGATAGAAAACTGCGCTACGAGACTCAGCATTGGGTAATTTTTCATCACGATCACTGAATTTTAAGTGATATTTTAATTGCATCACTAAACTCTAATTTATGTCATTTGAGTCATTACAATTTTATTATTTCACCAAAGTATTTCACGACTTAGGTAATATTCTATCCCCTATTGTCCTCAAAATTAATGGAAACTACTCCATTGTCGGTAATACTATAATCAATCTTTTATTTAACCGCTATGTGATACCTTAAAAATACAAATGATAAAATAAAGGTTACACCAACTTTTTGAACATTTTTTTTTTTTTTGATATCCAGATATCTACCTTACAGTGACTCAATCCCGGAGTCTACATCTTGGCCCCTCAAACTGTAGACAAGTTAAACCGTAGGTTGTGCCCCAAACTGATTAGTGCTCAAGAGCCCCCCCTCGAACTGATCTGTGCCAAGCAAGTCGTTTTCCCATCTTTGCATCTTGCCTTCGAGTAGAGCTCCTGTCTTTCAGGAGAATATCTGCCTTCCAAGAATCGAACTCACGACCTCTGATCTGTCAATCTTGAAGCGCCCTCATCTTTGTCAATTGTGATGTACCCTGGGAACACTTTTTGAACATGTTCCATTCTAACATTCTTGTGAGTTAGTATAGTAATAAGTTGACGTACAGCCACAACATGGAAGATGGCAAGTGACATAGTGGGAAAATTATAATTAAATTGAAATTTAGCCATTTAACAAATTAAATTGAGGTTGGTGACTAATTGAGATAAATTAGAATTTCAGTGATCATGTTGGAAATTCATTCGCATACAATTCAGTGCTCTAACATGTGGCGTTACATGCACAGTACGGATACAGAATTTCTCCCTTTGCTCTTTAACCAAGCAATGCGGTGAATATATGTAAGACAAACGTGGACTGAACAGTCAAATCTTGAATAAATTAAAAATAAGAAGAAAACAAAAACCTCGGTTTGCTGAAATCATGGATTTTGTAAGTTCTGTTTTTCTTATTCTTATTCTTGAATTTCAGGAAACACGATTCAATCTTCACTTCAATTTTTCTGTACAAATTGTTGTCAGGGTTGAGGTGTAATGGTGTTAATTGGAGATTTGTCCAAGTGTTGACTCCGCTTGCATGGTTAGATGAAACGCTTATCTATTGATTTTATTCCGCATTTTAAATTAGACTCGGTGATTTGGAATTGTGGGCTTGTGGATTTCTCTTATTATACACATGTATATCAGTCGTAAGATTGAGATTGTTCATATTCCTCGAGATTTGTGGGGCGAAGGGGTAGAACAGGAGATGTCTAGCTTCGTGGGAGGAGTTCTCGTTTCTGATCAATGGCTGCAGAGCCAGTTTACGCAAGTCGAACTTCGCAGCCTTAAAGCAAAAGTGATTTCCTTTCTATCCCCTCTACTATATTCAAACTTTGTGCTCCTACTGAATCTTGGTATTGTGAATTCTTGACAAGACATTTTCTGTGAAATATGGAACTGACACTGAGTCAATGTGAAAAATTTGCCGTATTTCGTTGCATTTCTTGAACTGATAATTGAAGCTAGATAGGTGATATGTATTGTTCATCTGTCTAGATTGATGTGTGAAATGTGTTTTGTTTGGTGTTTGTTTGTAGTTCTTTTCAATGGAGAATCAAAATGGTAAAGTTAAAGTGGCGAACTTGCCGCCTCTGATGATCAAACTAAACGTGTTTTCTGAGATGTTCAATGAGGAGGAGATTAGGAGATCATTGGGAGAAACTCATTCGGATGTGAACAGTGAGATTGGTTTCGAAGGCTTTCTCAAAGTGAGTTTCTTGAAATTTATGGATCAATTGTTTTGTTTTATTGAGCAGTAATTGAAATAGATGCAACTTGGTGATATGAATGTTGTGGCGGTGTGGTTGAAGCTGCAATCCAAGTGTATGTTTGGTTTGTAGTATTGGATAATGTAATTATCAAGGATTTAGTTTCTTTTTATCTTAATAATGTTGAGTCCCATCTAATCCTCCCCGTCAAATGTGCCATAAAGATGGTAGAGAGGAATTACAGCTATACCATTGATTGAAGAGGAACTTCATCTTACTCATACTCAAATTTTAATGGAGGTTAGGTGACATATTAATTAGTTTTATTGAATGAGCAGACTTATTTGGACTTACAAAATCGAGGGAATGCCAAATTGGGGAATTCGAAAAACTCGTCCTCATTCCTCAAGGCCACCACAACTACCCTTCTTCACACCATCAGTCAGTCGGAGAAGGCATTGTATGTTGCCCATATTAACAGCTACCTCAGAGATGACCCATTTCTGAAGCAGTTCCTTCCAATCGATCCATCTACAAATGCTTTATTTAATCTTGCAAAAGATGGAGTCTTGTTATGGTATGTCTCGTTCTTTTTCCATGTGACTTCAAAAGGTGATAATTTATGGTGATCAGTATTTTCTTGTGTCTTGATGCAGCAAGCTGATAAATGTTGCTGCACCGGGAACAATAGATGAACGGGCCATCAACACCAAACGAGTGCTTAACCCATGGGAAAGAAATGAAAATCACACTCTTTGCCTCAACTCTGCAAAAGCTATTGGCTGCACAGTAATCAACATTGGTACTCAAGATCTAGTTGAAGGAAGAGTGAGTCGAGATAATTTGTCATTCAATATGCATTTTATTAACACTTTTGGTAACTAATTTTTTTAGGTTACTCGTTACTTTTTGCAGCCTCATCTGGTACTTGGGTTAATTTCTCAAATTATAAAGGTTGGCACATACAGACATTATTCTATTTATGCTTTTCTATTACACGTAACATAAACGGGAAGAAAAAGGGAAGAGATATACCAAGAGGATTATTGAATTTATATTGCAACTTGTGGTGTATAAACTTGTGATAATTGATGCTTGCTGAAACAGTCTCTTTCTATTGTATTTTTCGATGGCACCATCAGATTCAACTATTGGCAGATCTTAACCTTAGAAAGACACCCCAGCTCGTGGAACTTGTGGAGGACAAATATGTAAGAATATGCATCCCTTTGACAGTGACTATTTTCTTCCTAAATGTTGTGAGTTCGCAATCAGGGGTCTCTATTTTTTGTAGGATATTGAGGAACTTATGGGATTATCGCCAGAGAAGATCTTGCTGAAATGGATGAATTTCCATCTCAAGAAAGCAGGCTACAAGAACACTGTTACAAATTTTTCTTCGGACTTGAAGGTACATCTTCCTTCTAAAGTTATCTTGTGGTTTCAAATTCCAAAAATTTCCTATATTTTTGTTGAGAGATCAATAAAATTCTTAAAAGGTGTTAAGAAGGTGCTTAAGAACAAATTTTCTTTTTGAGAAGGATATATATCTTGAACTGCTATCTGGTTTCCAAGATTAAAAGGTATATGTTGCCATGTAGAATTTGGATTCAGAGCTTAGTTCTTATGTGGCAGGACGGAGAGGGTTATGCTTACCTGCTCAATGTACTTGCACCTGAGCACTGCAGTCCTGCCACCTTAGATGCCAAGGATCCGGCTGTAAGGGCTAATTTGGTTCTTGAACATGCAGAGAAAATGGATTGCAAGATATATCTAACTCCAAAAGACATTGTTGAGGGCTCTGCCAATTTGAATATTGCATTTGTTGCTCAGATATTCCAACAAAGGTCTGAAATGAACTTCTTTATTTGTTCTAGCAAATGGAGCAGTTGTTCTCTTCTTTGCCCTTCCTTGGCAGCAGACTCGCACCCTTGCAAGATTCAAAATGAGAAGAATAGATGAAAAGGAAACATAAGTTGTTGGAATTCTAAGTAATTAGTGTCTATCACTAGTCATTTCCTTATCAGCTCTATATGCTTGCTCTTGATTTTAATCATTTCCTCTGTAGCACATTCTGACATTGGCATTTCTGTGCTATTGTTTTGCTGCTGATATGGTTTTAACAGAATTTTCTTGCTCTGAAGCTATGATTAAGCAACATATGTTCCTCTTTTCATGTTAACTAGGACTGCTAGAAATGTTATAACTTGTTTGAGATGATTACAAGTGATGCACTTCTCCCTCCCTGAAAGAATTTCCACCATAATGGAGTCTATACTTGGCTTACTCTGCTTTTTCATTTACTAAGATCTTTAGGTTAATAAAAACTGTTCTTTCTTCATCTATCCACCTTAAGTGTACAGGAATGTTTTTTAGTTAATAAAGCTGTTCTTTTGTTTCCAGGAATGGCTTGTCTACAGACAACAAAATGATCTCTTTCGCCAAGATGACGACAGATGATGAGCAAATATCTAGAGAGGAAAGGTGCTTTAGACTATGGATCAACAGTCTAGGAATTGCCTCTTATGTCAATAACTTGTTCGAGGATGTTAGGAATGGGTGAGCATTCCATATGTATAAAAATGGCACATTTAGATCTGCACATTTAACATTATAACATGTCCGAGTTGGTTAGTTAGTCCTCTACTTCTGACTGAGGCAATGATATTATTATTATTATTATAATTCTGGAGTAGTCAGGCCCAATTGCTAGGGATTAAGCACTAATCCCAATTATGAGAGAAATGACAGGTAAAAAAAAAAAAATGAAGAAGAAGAAGAAACAGTGATCATGCAGAATGTGAGGGCTAAATCCATTTACTGCTGTTTTTAATGTAATAGAGAAAAAAAAGTATAATAGGATTTTCTCATGTATCTCTGTTTGTGTCTCACAGAAAACAACCCTCCCAAAAATCCTTTATATATCATAGAAAAATTAGGCTCACCAGTGACCTGCTATCGACCTTACCATGTAAGTCCATCCACAATTGAGTGGAATATTCTCCAGTATGATTCGACTCTATACAGGCAACACAAATATCAGTATAGTATAGAGTTCATTTTACTTCTGACATCAGTCATTATGAGTTTCCATGAGCTTCTTTTTAAGTGAATGTGTTGTGTCTGTAGATGGATTCTTTTGGAAGTACTGGACAAAGTTTCTCCTAGATCTGTCAACTGGAAGCAAGCAACAAAACCTCCCATAAAAATGCCATTCAGAAAAGTAGAGAATTGCAACCAAGTTATCAGGATCGGGAGGCAGTTGAAGCTTTCGCTAGTGAATGTAGCCGGGAATGATATTGTACAAGGGAATAAGAAGCTCATACTCGGTATTGAACTTCGTTTATTATTGTAAATTTCCTGGATGTATGTCCCACTTGGTTTTGATCTATATAATAATTGTCATAGAAAGTAATGAAATTTTATTTCAATGTAATAAATTTCTAAACCAAATATCTCTTTGTTGGCCGAACTCATGTGACAGATGAATACTCCTTTGCGCTCACATAGGTTTAGTTTTTTTCATAGCTTTGTGTTTCAAACCTCTATTTGTTTCGCTTCCTAACTGAATCTATTTAAGAGCTTGATCCAAAAGATAAATTCTCTGAATTGCTTGCTTGTGTTTTTTTACCTCTATTTTCCTTTTTTGGTTATTTCAGCTTTCCTATGGCAGTTAATGAGGTTTAATATGCTTCAACTCTTGAAGAATTTAAGATCCCGTTTCCAAGGAAAAGAGATTACCGATGCTCATATCCTAAGCTGGGCAAACAAAAGAGTGAAGGGTACAGGCAGAAAATCTCAAATGGAAAGTTTCAAGGTTGAAATTAAACTACTTTTTTGTCGAATGATATTTGCGCGCGTATATCTGTATTTTGCCATTGCTTAGTGATGTGCTTTTGGAATGCTTATGTAGGACAAGAGCCTTTCAAGTGGATTATTCTTCCTTGAGCTTCTCAGTGCAGTCGAGCCTCGAGTTGTTAATTGGAACCTCGTTACCAAGGGCGAAACTAGTACGTTGCAACAATAGACTTAATTGTCTTTATCATAAAATTTAGTTTCTTTTGCACCTTTTCTCCATTCGTTCCTCTCAATTTTCACAGTCCTGCTTGTGGTAGTATTGACTGTATTTATCAAATTGCCACCGGAAAAAAACTGACTAAAGTTCTGTTATTCACGTGATAGATGACGAGAAGAGGCTGAATGCTACTTACATAATCAGTGTTGCAAGAAAACTTGGGTGTTCTATTTTCTTGTTGCCGGAGGACATTTTGCAGGTGACAATGCCAATTGAATCCAGATTTTGTTAATCTTTCTTAAATTATTAGACGGGGTGGTTCAACTATTATTGATTACAGGTTATTAAGCTATTAGACGGGATGATTTTATGGCAGGTGAACCAAAAAATGATCCTTTCTTTAACAGCTAGCATAATGTATTGGAGCCTTCAGCAGTCGGTTGAAGAGTCGGATTCGTCTCAATCACCCGGTGCTTCTAGTCGAGGTGCATCACCCGAACCTTCAATCGATGGCATTAATGATTCTTTATCCCCTGCTTCTTCACCTGCTACAACTGCTTCCTGGGAGGCATCCCCATCACCGTCTACTAGTACAGATGATGATAGCTTGCTGGCTACTGAAGTATTGAATATGATCATCGACGATACAACTTCCGATGATGTGATCTCCACTTCAGATGGAGACAATGCAGCCTCTGATACACAATCACAAAATGAGCACTAGTTGTGCAGCTTTTGGCATTCTGTCTTTCGTAGAAAATGTAGAAGATAAGAAGACTCACCAACTAGAACTCGAGCTATTGACCGGTGCAGCACCCTGCGTTGGATTGTAAAAAGAGACAATAGCTAATAAGAGTCTCATCGAATAATAATATCAGTGGTGATAATGCACACCAAAATATTATGTGGATGTATTAGTTTCACAATAAAAATTAAATATTAGATGCTTTCTTATTAAACATTTGATTTATATTTGGAAATTAACGTGTTAAAAGGAACGTATTTTTATAATATTATTATTAGGTGGGCCATAACTATCAACTCAGTTAACGTATTTTTCAAAATCAGTTACTAATTAAAAGCTTAGCCAAACAGGCGCGTGTAATTGATTAGGATCATAATTGAATTATAATTCTTAGAATTATGGTAAGTTTTTGAGTCCGATAAATAGGACCACAAATGACTATACCCGCTCCGTTCGCTTTCAGAGTAATCACCCGTTCATTATATATATATTTGGATTTCTCTCTAGATTTTCGAAACAGAACACAGCTACTAGTCAGCAGAAATTTTTATTTTTCATCGAGCGATTTGTCTGATCACAGGTAATTTAAATTTTAAACTTTTTTTTAATGTAAATTTTGATTTTATATTTTTTGGATTGGTTTCTTTATACTAATTTTCTGAGAATTCGATTGTCGCGAATTGTGAAATAGCATGTATATTTGATTGTTTTTCTTGTTTGTTCTTTCTCATGCGATTAAGGTTTTTGATATAATGTTTGATTTTTATTTGCTTTTCCTGCCCCATCTGTTAATCCATGTAAATAAACATGCACAAAATACCAGGCTGTAAAACCTTAGTTCTTGTTTCTTTACTGTTAGATACTATACACTTGGGTATAGTGCCTATGATCGTAAGACTTAAAGGCATGCTTGGGAGTTTTCTGTACCGGTTGTGGGTTGTTCGCGTGAAACCCGCAAGTGTAATATCTAAGGTCTAATATCTAATTCTATAGCATTTATTAAATTCGAAATAAAATAAAATCAAAAGAGTAATTTGTATGTATTCAATACTAATACTAAACTAATAAAGCAAATAAAATATTTAACTAATATGTGAATGTTTGTATTAGAATCGTGAATCCCTCAATTTCCATTTAATTCAACTCTTAATTTATAATTTAGTAAATTCATGCATTCAAGACAATCGACAATCCACTTTTATTTAAATATATTAAACATATGTTTAACATGACTCGATCATATTCCTAGTTTGAATTCATATAAAAATCATGCATTGATTTACAGGATTTATCACACATGTCATAGATATTATTCCTAATTGTTCTACCACGTTCTAGACGTATTATGAATATTCCTACATTATAACAAGTAACTTACTATCTAATTGATGATCAAACAATTAAATAGTTCATGGGAGTGCAAAATCAATCAAGAAAAATAATGAAATACTAAATTAATTTTCTTGAACTAAAGTAAACAAACAATAGGGTTCATCATTCATTCAATACAATGAAAAACTTAGCTAACCATCCTAATTATTAAATTATATAAGAAATAATGAAAAGACATAATTCGGATCAAAGAAATATGGAAGAAAATAGAGAAAATTCATCTTCTTAAATGAAAATTTGATTTTGGATGGATAATCTTCAAGAATTTTGTACAATTATATTGATGTTGATGATCAAGCCTCGTTCTTCGCCTCCAAAATATGTAGAATATATGAATTTTTAGGTCTAAATGAGGCTTTTTAAGTTCTGGGCGTGTTCTCCTATTTATATGATGTCAAGGAGATTCCTTTCCAAAACAGAATAAGGAAATCTAAATTTTTTGCGCTTAATATTGAGGAGAGCGCCTCTTAGGTAGGCGAGGCGCGCCCCTTATCTAAGTTTGAGCAGTCGAATAGCTTTCAGTATTTTTATCATAACTTTTGCTCTTGATATCCGATTGATGTGATTTAAATTACGTTGGAAAGATTACTTAGAGGGCTACGATTCTTTTAGATATGTCATTTTTCTAATTTGAACGTTTGCTATGCCAAAATTGGATTTCAATATGAGACTGAAAATTTGAAACATAACTTTTTTGGTTGAAAGTCGATGTATGATAATATTTTGATTATAATTCATCCCTTTTACTTCTTTCCTCATCTAATTGACCCAAAACACTCTCAAATCTTCATCGTCAGATCTGAAACAACTTTTGAGTATTTGTACTTTAGTCCCCAAATTTTGATGTGCTTCATTTTAATCATTTTTTGTTCTTTCTTCCAAATTTCATTTGAAACATGAATTTTTCATAATAGAAGCAATAAATAACAAATTTGATATTAATTCGTTCAAACAATAACAAAATATCATCATATAAGATCTCAAATAAGTATAGAGACTACACTTATCATGGGTTTAAAATAATCCAACTTATATATGGAGTTCATTATCGAGTGGTGTTGAAATTTTTTAAAAGAGTAAAATTACACATATGCCCCTTTATAATATTTTGTATATTTTTTACTCATATGTGATATTTTACTTATAAGTAATTATTTTACATATTAGTTAATTTTTAACTTAAAAATACAATATTTATTTAATAATAAAGTTTTAAATTATAAGTAAATTTTTATTTGTAAGAAATTTTATAGCCGTAAAGTTAATTTTGTACTTTTAAATATTTTTTTACACATGTGATTTTTTTACTTATAAACTTTTTTTGTAAAAAAGTGATTTTTTATCTTATAAATAATTTTTTACTCATAAGTAAATTTTTTAATTATTAAGTTTTTTTTAATTATAAAGTAATTTTTTTAGTCATTGTATTTTTATTTACAAAAGTTAGTTTTGAGCAAAATATGTGGATTGAAAATAATTATTTTATAGAGGTTACAATTGTGAGAAAATTTAAGAAACGGCAAAAATCCACCAATTTGATGAGCTGTGAGATAAGACCAAAATTATACCATACTGGTTTTGGATGGTTTTTGCTGCACAAAAAACTCACAAGCACCTGTTTTTTCAACCTCTCGTAAACGCATTTACGCTAGTCTAATCTCTTCTTTCTTGTGATAGTTTGGGTTGTAAACAAAGTGATATTCACCGAGCAATTCGAAGAAACAGATGGCATCTTCGGACGATGAAGGTGAAGTAGCTCCGGGGTATGTATCAGAGTATGAATTCGTCGATGACAAGGACGAGCCTATTTCGTTCGCCGAGTTACCGGTTCACTGGAATAAAGACCAGATTCCTGATGGGGAGCAGAAACCGATCTTCCTCCGTGGGACAACCGATAAAGGGCTTCAGAGAATCTTTAAGCAAGTTGAAGCCTGGAAATTTGATCTTTCAGAGGAGGAACCAGAGATTTTTGTGTTATCCAAAGAGAATAACTGGATCAAGCTTCTAAAACCAAGGAACGCTTTTATGGATACAATTAGGACAATCTTGATTACAGTGCAATACCTACACTTTCTGAAATGGAATCCAGAAACATCTAGAGAAAATATGTGGGACCATGTGTCAGTCCTGCTGAGGTTTGGATATAAATGTTTTTGCATTGTCTCTATGCCTTTGTTGTTGCCTTGACTTTTTGACATTTTTTTGTGCCTTTTTAGCTCGTTCAAGCCCTGTCCTTCTGAGAATGACCTGGTTAATCATATTTCTTTAATCAATGAAGCTATTACAGGGTGTGAAACACTGGCAAAATCTAAGGTCCATACTTTTTCCTTTCTTCAATGAATCTATCAGACTAGATAACACGAAGATTATGCACTGAGCTATTGCAATGTTATCAAATCCCTGTGATGTAACAATTTTTGTTTTCTTTATTTGACAGGACATTGTAACTGATGATGAGGAAGATTTCTGTGACTCTGTTTGTGCAATTTGTGACAACGGTGGATCACTTTTCTGGTATGTTTGTCTTATACTTACACGCCATCTCTGTATATATTTGTTACTTATTTTATATTCCAGAGTTTACCAGTACATTATAAACTGCTTCATTAGCATTGCTGTCCATTGTATGATTATGTTTGCTTGGATGTATGCATGTACCTATTTTCTGTCGTTAGTTTGACTATAGTGTGACGTTATCTCCACATCTTTATTTAATACAAACTATCGTAAATGTTCATGATAGCTAAATAGGAAACTGCACACACTAGACGTATTTTAGTGCACTTGAAGTTATTATCTTCTAAACAGACTTATTAGTATTTTACAAAACTTATATGAGGATTCTCTAGTAAAACTCAGGTGATGGTATCAACTGTATTTATCTTCTAGTCTTTATTATTGTTTTTTTTTTTTTCAAGGCCTTTTTACATTGTATGCCATCTTTTGATCAAGTTCTTTCCAATTTCTGCAATTTATTAACACGACGTTCTTCTCTTCTCGGTTCATAATCTATCGCACATTGTGATCTATTCTTATTCAGTTGTGAAGGGAAGTGCATGAGGTCATTTCATCCAACCGTCAAGGATGGTGTTGACTCTTACTGCAAGTCTCTCGGTTATACTGACGCAGAAATGGAAGTATGCTGCTACTTGTGTTGACTCCTAGCTTTTGCATTCTGTCTCTATTTTGTTTGAGTTTTTATTTAACTCTTTCCGTATTGCATATCTTCAATTGCAGAAATTGGAGACCATTGATTTTTATTGTAAAAATTGTGAGTATGAGCAACACCAGTGCTTCGTTTGTGGGGAATTGGGGTCTTCTGATGAATCTTCTGGTGCTGAGGTATGAATTCATTTGAGATATACTATCACTTTGTTAATTTTTGTGAAGGACCTGTATACCAACTTCTAATAATTACTTTTGAAATTTGATTTCACATATTTGCTCGTTTTCCATGGAGACGTATTTTTATGGAATAGATTCATGAAGATTTCAAGTTCACTCATCTCATTCCTCACCCCTTGGTGGTGTCATCTTTGTGCAATTCCATTTTGAAACTTGTGATTTCCCTCATTATATGAATCATACAACTTAGATATATTTATGCTTTAAAGTTATTGTTTAGATCTGAGCTAGACTTAACTGTTGTCATCTGCCAACATGGATTGCATTTTCCTCTGCATGAAAAATTACTCAAATGTTTCTTTCCCATTCCTGTTCAGGTCTTCCGTTGTGTTAATCACGATTGTGGGCAATTTTATCATCCTCGTTGTGTAGTGGAACTTCTCCATTCGGGGAATAAAACTGAAGCAGAAAAACATGAGAAAAATATTGCAGCTGGGGAACCATTTGCATGCCCCCTCCACAAATGCTATGTTTGTGAGGAGCTAGAAGTTAAATCAGAACCTGACTTGCAGTTTGCCATATGTCGGCGTTGTCCTAAAGCATACCACAGGAAATGTTTGCCTGCGTAAGTGTTATTTCATTTTGCATATATCTTGAGACTATTATTGATTCTTGTTTGTCTAAATTGACACTCCAGTGCAGACTGTCAAAGTTTTTGTTGCATTGAACAGGGAGATTCTGTATGAAAAGGATGAAGATAAAGGCATTCCACAAAGGGCCTGGGATGGTTTATTTCCCAATCGTATATTGATTTACTGCTTGTAAGATCTTGAAAATGTCCAGTTTGATTATATCTTCTGTATGAGTCATTTTATTAACCTAATAGCATCATTCTTATCAGAGACCACGATATCGTCCAAAGGATTAAAACCCCTGTTAGAAACCATATAAAATTCCCTGGTTTTCAGGATAATGAGAAAATGCAACCATTAGGATCATCTGGCAAGAAGAAAGTGGTATTGGAGGAAAGAGGTGGTTCTCCAGATAATATTGCTGCAAAGAAAAGTCGTACAAAACCATCAGAAGGGGTTGAAGTCTCGTCTTCTGGCTTGAAGCAGGGTGATCTTTCTAAAAAGAGAGTGAGGAAATTTTCTGGACTGGAGTCTTCCAAAAAGCATAAAGTAATGGATGTTCGTGAGACTGATATGGACAAGGGTTCTCTAAAGAAATCAAATGAACCTGCCACTTCTGAACCCAAGATATCTTTAGGCGAGAAACACAATTCTCGACCTGTCAAATCTAACAGGGTGGAGAGAACTGATGGAAAACTAAAGCAAACTAAGATGGTTAAGCTTAATACTGATACAAAGAAGAGGTGAAGAATTATTCTGCCCCTTGGTTATCATTTATACTCCTCTCTCCCTTCCTCCTCCTTCCCTCCTTGGTTTGCGGGGGTACATAATTACTATGTGATGGCTTCACAATTTTAAGCAAATAAAGTGCTCAGTATCGTTAGTTTTTCTTTTATTTGATTATTTTCCTTCGCAATGCAGAATATCGGCCATGATAGAAGATGCCTCCTCCTCGTTGACACTTGAAAAGATTTCAAAAAAGCATAAAGCACCATTCACGCATACTCAATCTTCAAAGAATGTTTCCATGGGGAAGGTGGAGGGTTCTATTGAGGTACATGTTTGGGAATTTTTGGCCTGGATTATCTATTTTTTGGAAACTTAATTATACTTGTATACAGGCTGTTCATTCTACCGTACCAAAATTGGAAGGAATCAGTGGTGTTAAAGATGCTAAAGCTGTTTGTGATACTGATCTTCTCGACCAGGTGATTAAATGGAAGGTAATTGTCCAAGCTTGACCCTTAATTATTGTTGTGCTTTGATTTCTTCTCAGTGTTTTTATAATCTGTGATTTATGCTCTAATCATGTAACTTCTATATGTTTTGCTTGGGCCATCTGAGTTTTTTCTTCATTGAGCGGTGGTTGATCCAGTGAAACAAAGTGATCCCACTTCATAAGTTATCTGGAAGATAGCTCTTTGATGATGATATAGTTTCTGAAGATACCATCTTATATGAGACTGAAATTATTGCTGAAAATCTGTTATTAAGTGCTGCAGAGACGAACTGTCAAAATACTTCACTTTTTCGTGAAATTTTTACTCTGTTTGCTAGTGTTCATATGAACATCTCTTCAGTCATTGTCAAGCTGTTCACTCTTGTGAGATCTTTCTGAATAGAAGTGGTTCTGTTGTTTAGTCAATGGGTTATAGTAAGTAGTATCATGTACAATTGAATGTATTTCCTGTTTTTAAGTCCTGAATTGAATTTTTGTACTGTTCAACCTATGTTGGTGTCAATAATTTGTGAATGTCCTTTTTTACAAAGTGATTTCATGGTCTTGGGGCATGAGTTTAACTAGTATAGCTACTTCGTTTCTGCAGAAGAAGCTGAAAGTGAATCTTGTTCCTTTTCTACATGGCATGCGCTACCCATCCTTCGGTCGCCATTTTACCAAAAAGGACAAGCTGAAAAAGGTCAGCTGATCTTTATGGTCAAATTTTGATAAGAAAATAAGTTTATATTGATGGTTAAAGGGCTCATGGTCTTGACAAGAAATTGTTTATTTCTTTGTTTGATATTCAGTACACGATGTTAATATCATTTCTTGGTGCAGATCGTTGATATGCTCCATTGGTATGTTCAAGGTGGTGACACGGTAAAAGTCTATTCTTCTTTTTTGTACCACAATACTTGTAAAAATGTTATGTCAACATTTCATTGGCATAACATGAATTGAATTTGACTTCTGGAGCCGGATTGCATATTTGACAGTTAAAGAAATTTCTGAAAGTCAGTTAGGGCTGGATTCTAATCATATACTTGTTTCCCAGATTGTTGATTTCTGTTGCGGTTCAAATGATTTCAGCTGCCTTTTGAAAAAGAAGCTCGATGAGACGGGAAAGAGTTGCTCGTACAAAAACTATGACATTGTACAAGCAAAGGTGAACTCTATTATCCTAATTTGTAATATGTATTTTGTTTTGCAAGGCGAAAATATATTAGCTAAATGTACATTGATTCTCAAAATGGTATTATGGTCTTTTTAGAATGATTTTAGTTATGAGAAGAGGGACTGGATGGGTGTCCAAGCAAAGGAGTTGCCTGAAGGATCGCAATTGGTGAGAAGCACTTCTCTATATACGCTCACGATTTTTGTACTTCCATCTTATCACATGTAAGTATGTAACTGATTTAAGTTTTTTGTGTAGATCATGGGACTCACCCCACCATTTGGAGTCAGCTCAGACTTAACTAACGAATTTATTAACAAAGCACTTGAGTTTAAACCGAAACTTCTAGTACTTATTGTTCCTCAGGAGACACAACGGTATTTCTTTGAGTAACTTATTCTTCGTTTGTATCCTTCCATGAGCCTCCCCTTTTTCTCTGATTCTCCATTTGCTTTTACCTTCACCAGGTTAGACGATAAGGAATTTCCATATGATCTCGTTTGGGGGAATGATCAGATGCTGGCAGGCAAGGTAAGCTGGTGGATTTTTTAATTTCCTAGTTGTCAACTCTTGAAGTATACTGACAGTGATGCTAGTTTTATCTGTTGCTCATAAATAATTCTCTGTTTATTTCAGTCATTTTATTTGCCTGGGCCAGTCGATGTAAATGACGAACAAACAAAGGATTGGAACGTGAACCCACCACCACTTTATATCTGGAGTCGCCCAGATTGGACGGACAAACACAAGGCTATAGCTCAACAACACGGGCACTTATCCAGGACTGGAGAGAAGTTACAGCCAGAGGAAGAGCACCATAATCTTGGCAAATCTTCCACAGTGATGGATGACGATAGTCACGTGGATAACAAAAAAGAAGCCGGAGTGGATGCAAGTTGTAAGAAACGATTGCGCCATGACTGCAGTGGAACAGAAGGCGATAAGAATGATGACTGGGGGAAAAATCATTCTACAACAAATTCGAAAGGCACTAAGAAAAGGAGGTTGAAAAGAGGACCAAATGTAAAACTTACTGAGGATAAATCCATCAGTAGCAGATCGTCGGATATGCCGTGTATCAGCGAGGTGGACAAAAGCTATGCACGGGATGTAGATATCAGCTCACGAGTTCATCTTCATGGAACAGCGGCTTCAGCTGTATCCAATGCCGGACCTGGATTTCCATCTTCGAGTGGACAAGAAGTTCCCCGACTAGATGAGTTAAACCATACCAGGGTGAACAGTGTGGCGTCTGGAACCCATTTGGCCGATACAAAGAGCATCGACCCTCCAGTTCCAAGACCGGTATTTCTAGCCAATACATTCTACTTTGCTCCTGGTCCTTATTGCCCATCTCCAAACAACACTGCGGGTTGGCTTGATGAATAGATATGCCCATTTCCAGTAGGACCAACGGTGGTTTATAGTTCAGAAGCGATGACTCGTGTTCTTATTCTGTTTTCTGTGTACAGTTTAACTCAACTGGAGAAAATGTACTCCACTCCAGTGCTATGTAAAGTTAGTTGCCTGACTCACAGCATCTTCATACATGTAATTATATGTTTTTTTCTTTTAAGGTTCTTTGCATATTTTCTTAGTTAACGGATTAATATATGAATTTTGCATTTCAATTAATGGTTTATACTTTATCTGGTACAAATATCAACTACATTTTTTTTTAATCAATAAGATTGTGAAAGGGTGGTTGATTCACTATGATGATTGATCGATCGATCTATTTTTTCATTTACTTTTTCTTTTTTTAACAGAAAACCGGTATAATTTGAATGAGATTGAAACTCACATAAAATGGAATGATCACAACAATGTAAAATCCCCTTTTTGGTTTAGCCAAAAAAGTTTATTAAAATTTAAGTCAAAGTTGAAAAATATTTTTAACTATACATTTTATAGAATTCATAATTTTTAAACCAAACATTTCATGGATGTTTATCAAAATCTGCTAAAAATATGGTTTAAACCGATCTCTTTATTTGGATCTTGAGTGAATGTCTAATTAAATTGTCTCACCGTGAGGATGGACTCTCTAATTAGGTAGACTTGGGCTTTTTAAGACCATTTGATTGCATGTCTTATTAAAGTGGAAATTACACCAAATCTTATTTTTAAGTTTTATTTTTAAAAATGAAATTTTAAAATTTTTTTTGTACAAAAATCAGGTGATAATAATTTTTTAATTTTAAATAGTAATATTTTGTAATTAAATTAATCTATCCAATTACACACCTTTATCAACCCACCCATCACATTTCACTTCCCAAATCCTAATCATTTATTTCTCACTTCTCTTCCCATATCCTCTCCCTTCTCTCTCTTTATCACACGACCACAACCCTCCGGCGACGACGCTAACCAAAACCATCAAACGACAACATCGCCATTACTAAATTACTCTATTGCAGCAACATTGCCACCACATAGGAGGACCGTCGACGACGTCTTCGATGCGCTCATGACGCCTCGATCTTTCCCTTTTGCTCAGATTTTTACGAGCCACTGCTTAGAGCGACGTCTTTGTGGTATGGTGTCGTCTGTGCGCAACTGCAACCGAAGTATTGGTGGTATTTGTTTGTGACAGCTCAAGCCATCACTGCTGCAACTGGAGTCATTGGTGGTGTTTCTTTGTGATGACAATCTGAGTCCACTAGACCCGACGTAGTTGGTGGTTTTTATGTGTGGTGGTTGTTGAAAATATGTTGTTCAAAATTAATAAAAATGTGTGTGGAATGAAAGCGAAACGAAATGGAATAAAAAAACCTGAAACGATGGCTCATTGTGTGTGCCATGCGACCGCATGGCAGGCTGGCCATGCAACCTAGGGCCGTGACGTTGTTGTACCATGCGGTCGCATGGTACTTAGAAAATGGCCGTTGGACGCCGTTAAGATTTAAATTTTGAGGGTTTTTTTCACTACTATTCAATATGATTGGCAACATTTCATGGGATATTGATCCAGGTATATAAATAGGTGATGGAGGGATCGATACAAACATTAAAAATCATATTACAAACATATGAGAAACATTATTTTCATTCCACAAAAAGGATCAAACATCTTTTGTTCCATATTCAATTCTTCCATCTTGTGTTCTTCAAGTTCGGGTAGAAAATCATTTGTGTTTTTGTGATTTTCTATAACAAGGCTTGATCAATCTTTCAAACCGTTTGCCGCGAGACGCTTTAAGAACAAAAATTGTTACCGAGAGGGGGCAAATATCGTTTGAATACAACGATATAATATCGTGTTTGAGCCTTTCATTTTCGATTTGTTCTTCACGTTTATTTCATCTTTTTGATATCACTTCTATGTTGTTTCTTCTCCAACCCCGGTGGTGATAATTTCTCAACAATCTCAAACGATATTTTGTGTGATGGAGAACGAAATCACTTTGGTGACAATCAAGTTGATGGATCAAGATCCTTGTTCGTGTGGACTATTTGATGGGACGAATGAATCAGATTTGGTAAGTTGAAATTATGGTCGATTTGCATGAACACTAAAGGTATGTTCGTGAATATAATTATGCACATGTCTATTTTTCAACAATTTGATTAACCCTATGCAGTTGTCGGTGCACTTTATATTTTGTTCTAGTCCATAATTCAAGATTAAAATTCTGTTTAGAATCATTAACTGAACATCTAATACTGCATGTTCTCTTACCGTAATTGGGATTGAGTTTCGATCTTAATTGTATATTAAATGAAAAAAAGAAGGCTTAAAGAATTGGAAACCCACCTTTGTGTATGTAATGGAAAGTCATGCGTATTTGAAGTCAAAAATTCATATTTTGATCCATATGTACAAATCTATGTGAATTACTTTCCGTTCGAATTACGGTGTGATGGCACCTTTGATATTACGACTGCAGTAAATAATGACTTTAGCTAGCCATGAATATATGATAAAAGGTGGATTATTATGTGGCAGCAATTGTTAATCAAATTGAATGGAAGTTGGTTTATTTTTGAACAAGTGCATATGGCAGTTTTATTAAATAATGACTTTTCATTTTAAATGCAAATGGATCTATTTGACATGGTGACTATTCGCAGGTGCTTACAATATATTATTTCAGAATTTTGCATTTATAGGCAAATTCTATTCCATAATAGAAGTTCTCCACAAGTAATTTTCACTCTAATTGCATTGGAGTATGTACGGAATTCCACTAGAGAATTGTATCCTTTCAATTCAAAATCCATTAAATGGTACCTATTTTTAATCAATGGAAAATAAAGTGAATATGTACCTTGTTATTCGGTGTGATATAATGCTATCTTGTAAAAGTGATAAATCGCAATTTTGTAAATCAAGATGCTTAGTCTTATTAGTTATTGAATTTGACTATAATCGTGGAACCAATTGAATTTGGTTTAAGCTTGGAAAAGTAAAGTCAGTCTATGAGATGACCTTGATCAAATTGTGTGATCAAAAAATTAAAGATAGTAAGTTCAAAGCACATAGTGACCTAACGACTACTATTTGATAATATCTAAACTTTCACTGATATTTTCTACGTGACAAGTGAATGAAAGAGTTAATAAACTCTCGGTCCAAGTATAATCCCAAATGTGGGGGTTAACATATTGATGACCCAAAGTGTGGGGGTTAACATTAAATGCTTGTGAACTTACATTAGAAGTTCAAAAATTTGTGGATGCAACATTTCTAGATTGCATATGTATTTCTAATTAAAGAATTGTGGGGGTAACTTATTTTAAAAGGTTACTAATACCTCTTAATCATAGAAAAATATCTATGAAGGGGAAAATGTAGAAAATCCTTTACAAGGATAAATACACCAAGCCTAAGTGGATGAAATGGCTAATCATGGTGCTTGCAAAACCAATAAGAATATTTAAAGATAATTGAAATAAATCAATAATGAGAATCGAATACTCATATATGATATCCACTAGCACAATAATTGACTAATATAATGGTTGATAGAAATCTTCTAACTGTGTTTGAACATCAATAAAACTTTAAGTAAAGTTAGTGAGAAGCATGGAGTTTCATAAAAGATTTCTTAGTGGTGACAAGTTGTATCTATTAAATGAATCGATCATTGGCTAGCTACATTTAATAAAGATACTAAGTCACACATAATGGAAAGTCAAGACTCATGAGTCTTAGACGTGACTTAATAAGGAAATTATCAAAGATGGAATAATTTTCATAAAGACGTAGCGGATACTTTAAACCACTAAATAGAGTTTTAGTAACATTTACTTCGAGTAGAATAGGGTTGAAACTCCTAAACTATAAAGGTCCACCAATGATAGCAACCTTACCTGTCATTACTCAAAAGGTAGTCTACGGGTTCAAAGGGTAACAACAAGTCATTCGATATGTGGATGATTTAAGCATTATAAAAATTCACAATAATTCTATCCTAATTAAAATAATGCTGGTTGTTACTAAAGTGAGGGTTGAGCATTAAAGCTCTTAATGAAGTGCAGTGTTAAAATACAAGTACCTCTAAAAGTAACAAATGTATTGGAAGAACTTCATCTAAACAAATTTCGAGGTTGTGCCGCCTTAATAAAGAGTTGGAGTTTCTCTCTTAAAATTTTGTTGAAAAGGATGGGCGCAAGGCCATATTGTCACTAAGCGAGTTATGATGAACTTGAGAACACGTAATACTCGTGTCTGTATTCTTACCAATATTGTCACATGGAACAATTGGTTCAAAGCTTCGAGCTACCTTTGATTCCAACTTTACTTTATTTGAATTACACTATGGTTAGATTCAAATCGAAAGATATCTAATCCTTACGCATGAGTATTGTATACTTTGAATATGAGAGTTTATTAAAATTTTAAACAAGTGGGGGATTGTTGAAAATATGTTGTTCAAAATCAATAAACATGTGTGTGGAATGAAAGCGAAACGAAATGGAATGAAAAAACCTAAAACAATGGCTCATTGTGTGTGCTATGCGACCGCATGGCCTAAGGCAGGAAAACTGGGACCGTGATGTTGTTGAACCAACACCATGCGATCGCATGGTACTTAGAAAATGCCTGTTGGAGGCCGTTAAGATTTAAATTTTGGCAGTTTTTTCGCAACTCTTCAATATGTTTGGCACCATTTCGTGGGATATTGGTCCAGATCTATAAATAGGTGATGGAGGGATCAATACAATCATTGAAAATCATATTACAAACATATGAGAAACATTATTTTCATTCCACAAAAAGGATCAAACATCCTTTCTTCCATATTCAATTCTTCCCTCTTGTATTCTTCAAGTTCGGGTAGAAAATCAATTGTACTTTTGTGATTTTCTACAACAAGGCTTGATCAATCATTCAAACCGTTTGCCGCGAGACCCTTTAAGCACCAAAATTGTTACCGAGAGGGGGCAAATATCATTTGAGGACAACGATATAATGTTGTGTTTAAGTCTTTCATTTTTAGTTTGTTTTTCAAGTTTATTTTATCTTTTTGATATCACTTTTATGTTGTTTCTTTTCCAACCCCGATGGCGATAATTTCTCAATAGTGGTGTGTTGCGGTTGGTAGTGTTTGCTAACGGTGGTAGTGTGTTGTAGGTATAGTGTGCAGTTGTGCTGGTGATGCAAGTTTGTGGTTTGTGTTGGTTATTGGCGTAAAGGGTTGCTGTAATGGTTTTGAGATGATTTTTGGATGGTATTTTTATTTTTTGGGGTTTTTCTTCTGATCTGCATTGTCGGAGGAGTGTTGGTGGTGGTGGTAATGTGGCGATTCTAGCGGTATAGTGGTGGTGGTGCAAGTCGTGGTAATGTGACGGTGCTGGCAATAGGACGAGACAGAGTGGGATGGGAAGAAGAGTATCTGTGATAAGTTATTTAGTTAATTTGAGACTAATAAATAATACGTCACTCACATTTTATTAAATTGTGATTGAGAAATAATCCGTGACCAATTAATTTGATAATTTGTAATCATAAAATAAGTTCTGATTTATAAACTTTGTGATTCCTGATCGATATATAAATTGTGACCTATAAATTTTTAGATTTGTGATTGAGAAATAATTTGTAATCTATAAAATTTTTGTTTTATAATAGAGAAAGAATTTATAATAAATTAATTTGCTAATTTGTGATCAAATTGCACAGAATTGCATCCTTAATATATTTAATAAATAAAATATATTTTTAATTAATTGTTTTATAAATAAAATTTAATAATATCTTATTTTTGAAATTTTAAACATTATTTTTTATAGTTTTGAAATGAACCATAGTTAAACTCTTACACATGAAAATTTCCCGTTATTAAATTGCCTGACCATGAGGATGTACCTCTCTAGTTGAGTAGACTTGGAGCTTTTTAATAAGGGCACTGCTTTATGTACCAGAGAGTTGACACGCTTGGCTACACTTCCCTCATAGCAAGACGTCCATGCATTTTTTTATTTGGTGTGCCCCCCCCCCACCACATGTTATGAGGGACATGTAATCGAGCGTGTCAATGTTCAGAAACAAATAGCAAAATTCTTTTAATAATGTCAACGCCCATGTACAATCGAGCGTGTCAACGTTCCTCGTCACCTAGAGGAGTGGCGAGCACTAGTGACAATACAACAGAGTATTTAAAATTTATTTCATGATATTTGATTGGCTCTCATTAAAATTATAAATTATTTTCTCTCAATTCTTATCAATTACACAGTCTATAATAAAATAATATTACAAGCAATTTCAAAAAATTTTCTTTTTTTAACCAAGCGTTCTTAAAAAAAAAAAATACTACAACCATTAAAATTTCAAATAATGGGAGCTAAACGAATGGTTGGTCCATGCATTGACAATATTATTTATTTAGTCTCTTTACATGAGCATACAGCCTTTATTTGAGAGAGCTTCTTGAGATTAGAAGTTGATAGGTTCAGTAAAATATGTGATTAAAAAGTGAACAAAATTATGAACTCAATAAAATTTGTGGTTAAAATGAAGTTCTACCAACTTATAATCGAATAAAACTTTGTCAAACGGGCCAATAATCAAGTTCGGCTGCGGCTAAATATTCCAGGGCACATCTCCAAGCGTTAAAAGGGAAGGGTGGAGAAATCCAACTTTACTTGAGCCTGCTGCGTCAAGGGTTCGAATCCTGAAATATGGATTTGGCTCTTGGGTAAGTGCAAGTGTATAAGCGGCCTTCCACCCTATACCTTTGGAGGCATAACTTGCGATTTACCTCCATCATGATATTCCTAGGTAGGAGTGGTGGACGACCCTTAAGGTTAGGATTTAACTTTTTTTAAGTTCGGCTGCGGCTAAATATTCCACACAGACAATTCAAAACCCTAAAGGCTACTTCCTAGCAAAGTCAAATGATGTTAAGAAAAAGAAAAATTAACTGAATACTTCCAAAATTACAAGCAATAAAATAGATGATTTGTGTTTATAGTCTTTACACCATTAGTAGATTATTCTCTTGCACTGTAGAATGCCATTTAAAAATGGAAAAAGGCTAAGTGTACAGCACCACTTCTACCAAAGTGCTGTAAAAACGGTTGGGGGGCGAGGGGGAGGGACCAGAAAAAAGCTGTGAAGAAATCACAAAAATGGAGGATGAAATCAAGAATTTAGCTTATGTCTGGTTTACAGTGATGACATCTCTCTGTTACTGCTATTTCATATCTGCAAAGTTCCCAAAAGGGTTATTCAGATTTATGTCTCTTATCCCCATTTTCTCTCTCTACGCAAGTCTCCCTCTCTCTCTAAAGTCTGCCTTCTTCACAGCAGTCACAGCATTCTTAATCACATGGCTTACCAGTTTCAAGCTCCTCCTCTTTGCTTTCAATCAGGGACCACTTACATTTAACCCCACAAAGCCCCCTCTCCATGTTTTCATAGCGATTGCTGCTCTACCAATCAAGATCAAGCAAAACAAGAATTCCCCAGTTGCTAAAAGTCCCAAGAAAGTACCTCTGAATTTGGCTACTGAAACTGTTGCTTTTTCTATATTAATAGCGGTAATTCGTGAATATAAAGATTATATTCCCCCCAAGATTTTGTTGATTGTATACTGTTGTTTGGCGTTTCTGTTGATTGATCTGATAGTTGCTTTATCTAGTTTTTTGGTTCGAGTTCTTGCTGGGTTAGAGCTAGAACCACCGTCCGATGAGCCTTATCTGTCCACATCTCTCCAAGAATTTTGGGGCAGGAGGTGGAACCTCATAGTAACAAACACTCTGCGCCACACAGTATACAAACCCGTGAGGTCAGCTTCGGCGACTGTATTGGGCAATAATTTGGCCCCGCTGGTGGCGGTGGTGGCGACTTTTATTGTGTCTGGTCTGATGCACGAGCTCTTGTTCTACTATGTCACACGGGTGAGTCCCTCGTGGGAAATGACATTGTTTTTTGTACTGCATGGAGTTTGTGTGGTGGTGGAGTTTCGGTTGAAGGCGGCTTTCGGTGGAAAATGGCGGCTGCCGTGGTTCGTCAGTGGAACGTTGACGGTGGGTTTTGTGGTGGCCACGAGTTTTTGGCTGTTTTTTCCTCCATTGACAAGGAATGGTGCAGATGTTATGGTTATTGAAGAGTTCATATTTTTTGGGGAACTTGTCAAGAAGAAGATGCTGATATTCTTGGCCAGAATTTGAGCTGGCTTTCAAATGATTACGTTGTAATTACGACCGGTACTTAATTTCTAAATTAATTTTGTATTTGTGCCACAACAATTTATGCATTTTTATTTTTTTTGGGTATATTTAACTCAAACTAAGTGCTCGTTTGGTTTCATTATAATCTTCTTATAATTTAAAGTCAAATATTAATTTTAAGTATACATTCATGTTTATTATTCTAGCATTTATGATCCAATGACAGGTAACATGAGTTACTTATTAGCATTCATACATCTTATCTAAATGACGTTTTATTATTAGTTTATATATCCGTCGTTTCATTGTTTTCTATTCTATTTGCCCCTCGTCATACGACGTCAAAATTTGTAATTGCGACGCGTCGACAAATGAAGAAATAAATAGTTGTTTCCGATAACGATGGAGCTTAGATTATAAGATATTTCTACTCAATTTCTACTTAGAGCTCAAGTGTGTCCAACAATTTTGATCGAATTTTTTTGTGTAATTATAGAGGCCATTACTTTGCTGATGAAGCAAATTAGGAAGGTGGTATGC